TTGCCACTGGGGAGAAGGATTTATGGACAGGAAAAATAGATCTGAGATTGCTTTTATTTTTCATTAAGAGCCTTGAAATACAATTTGAATTTTTTTTTTTTTTTTTGGTGCCAGGGATCAAACTCAGGTCTTTGGGCTTGCGAGACAGACGGCAGAATCACTGAGCTAAATCCCCAGCCCTAATTTGACTATTTTTATTAAATTACTTTAAAAAACAAACCAAAATTAAAAGGGAAAAAAGAAGGAAAATGCCTGATTCTCTTTTGAAACACAATGATAAGCATGAAGTGAATTCATTTACTACAAAGCCAAATGATAATACTACTACTTAATCTTAAACACAACTGTAGTTTAAGTTTGTTTTTCTGTTTTTTGTTTTGGTACCAGGGATCAAACTTGGGACCTTGCACTTGCAAGGCAAGCGTGTAGTTTTTTTAAAAGGACCACTATGGCACAAATGGCCAGGGGTAGTCTTTGCTAAGCCAGCAACGAACATCCTCAGGATTCCTGCTGTGGCCTCAGTGCTGACTCTGCATTCCCAGCCCCAAAAAGTGAATTCAGAAATAGCAGGAACAATAACAAAAAACAAGAAACCTCCCAAGACAGCATGTGACTCAACACTACATTCAGGACAGAGCCCTGTGGGCTGGTGTGGTCAAGAGAGGTTCAGACAGGTGGCGTGAAGGCTGAGGTCTTGGAGTTGTTGAAGAGCCAAGGGCACTCCAGGAAGGCATCCTGCATGGTTGAGGTATGGGGATAAGGCTGGGAAGATGCCCAATGCCAACTTAAGCAGTTGGCCTCTGCCTTAGGACCCTGGCTGCTTCTGTTGGTAGGATTTTTCAGGGAAAGATGAGTGAAGTGAATTTAAACTTGGGCTCTAGATCTGAACCCCATTAACTTCACTGACCAATTCTGTGATTCAAGGTATGTTCTAAATTACGCTAAACCTCTGTTTATTTATGTGTGACATTGGAAAAGGGACTATTGCATCTCATGGTTGATATGAGAAATAAGTGACTATACCAGCAACCTCTGGCATAATACCTAATAGTAAGCATTCAATAAATGAGAGCTATTCAGGAAACTCTATAGGATCAACAAGCTGGTTTCTTCAAGAAATAAATTCAAGGAACAAAGGGAAAAGCCAGATAAAAAGTCTTAAGAGACATCAAACATTAAAGTGTGTGGAATTTGTTTAGATCCTGATTTAAACATTTAAATAAACCATACAAATATATATGCGTACATTTATACATATAATAAGACAACTGGGAATATCTGAAAACTTCTTGCACATTTGATTAAGGAATTAGTTAATTTCTTACGTGTAATTTTTTGTGTGGGTGGTTTTTTGAGACAGGGTCTCACTATGAAGTCCAGGCTGGCCTTGAACTCATGGTAAGCCTCCTGCTTCAGCCTCCCAAGTGTTGAGATTATAGGCATGTGCCACCATGCCCAGTGTTTATTGATATTTTCAAAAGAATATTATTTAGAGATATCCAATAAAATATTTATGGAAGGCCAGGTATGGTGGTGCATGCCTGAAATTCCAGCACTCCAGGGGCTGAGGCAGGAAGACCACTGCAAGCTTGAGGCCAGCCTGGACTACACAGTTCATGGCCAGCCTGAACTAAACAGTGAGACGGCCTCAAAAAACCAAAAATTATGGAAAAAAGTATGGATAGTCATGATGATAATCTAACATAAGGGGGATAAGTAACAATGGCCATTTGCTTGTGTGACAAAGCTGGGTAATGGACACAGCACAAGGGCACCATATACTTTACTTTCATAAATGTTTGAAATCTTCCCTAATAATCAATAAATAAAATTAAGCATATGGTAGCTGTTATGGTTATTATTATTCATGGATATGTTATACTGGTGCGTAAGCAAGGATCATGGCTGATTTTTATTGTCTACTTCCTTCCCCACAGCACCAAATATTGAGTGTGTCCTTTATATGCAATACAAGTGCAGTGGGGATTTAGTTCAGTGGTTTCATTGTCTGCCTCGTGAGCACAAGGTCCCGAGTTTGATCCCTGGTACCAAAAAAAAAAAAAAAAAAAAACAAG